TCAAAAAAGATGATGATATAGAAGCAAAATTTTTATATTAATTTTTTATATAATTTTTATATATTATTAAATAAAAAAATACACTCAATATCATAAATTTTAAAAAATTAATTATTTAAATAATATGTAAAATTGTATTAAAAATAATAAAAAAGTTATCCTTAATCATTTTTTTAGAAAAAATGTTAAAAAGTAAAAATAAAAAAAGGGGTACATCAAGTCCAGCTCGACAGTGGACCCTACAAAAACATGAATTCGGTTAAGTTTGGACGGAATGATGACATCAGCCATGCGAGAAGGGCTGATTTGTCACCGTTGACGAGTTTAAGGTGTCATATGCTACTGTTTTCCGTTTAGGGGCTTTTTGGCTACCTCTCAACAAGTTCAGGGGGTAATTTGCATGATTTACCTTTTTAGATTTTTTAACAAAATTTTAAATTTATAAAAAAAAATTACTAAATACTCTCATTAATTTTTCAATGCATAAACATACTTAATTTTTTATACCATAACTAAAAATTATTTATTATGGATAACGAGCCATGGTGCATCTACGTTTGCATTTTTCCAACCTTCCACTGTGGCTTCGACGCTGTGTATAAGACGCCGGCGACGTTTCCCATCATTCACGTTTCCTTTCTCTTTGCTCAAACATGGATGCCGAAGAGAGAATGGAGAAGAAAAGAATCAACCTTTCAGGTGATCTTTCCAACAGAGCGATGGTCCAGATAGATCTTCATCTTTTCCCACGGGAGATTCTGCTCGAAATCCTATCGAGACTCCCGATCACCTCTCTGATCCACTTCAGGACCACTTCCCATGCCGGCTATGATTTAATCTCCGATCCAAGACTCCCTCTGATGTTCCGTAATGGGGTAAGCGACTCAGATCCATGTCGGATTCTGTTCAAGTACAATACCCCTGTCTCCAGGGCCTTGCAACTCTATTTTGTGGATAGAGAGGGTTGTAGCAGAAGGGTTTGGAAAATCGATCCACCACAGTAGTCGAGATTTAATAGGCTGGTGGGTTCTTGTAACGGACTGTTATGCTTATCCTTAATCGGTGGTTCATTTTGTTTTTACATTATTTCATTAAATGTATTTAAATAATTTTACAAACAAATTACATACAATCCACCAGTAAAAACAATTTTTTCAATTTTTTATAAACCTTTTCTCTAAACTTAGTAACGAAGTTAGTACAAGGATGACTATGAACGTTTCCTTGCAAAGTTAGAGGAACGACTTTACGAGGGCAAATGGGAGTGTAGGAGGACGATCCTAATCAATTCCTTAGTAAGAGGGTTTATTGGCTTTAACCCAATAAAGTTCCAATCTTCCACTGTGATTTCAACGCTAAATATACGAGACCGGCCACGTTTCCCATCATTCACATTTTCTTTCTCTTTGCACAAACATGGATGCCGAAGACGGTAGAGAGAATAAAAGAGTCAACCTTGCAGATGATCCTTCCAGCAGAGCGATGGTTCAGATAGATCTTCATCGTCTCCCACGGGAGATTCTACTCGATATCCTATCAAGACTACCGATCACCTCTCTGATCCACTTCAAGACCACTTCCCATATCGGCTATGGTATAATTGACGATCCAAGACTCCCTCCGATGTTCCGCAACCGGGTAAGCGACTCAAACCCATGTCTGATTCTGTTCGAGAACAATGTCCCCCAGCGACTCTGTTTTGTGGATAGTGAGGATTGTAGTCGAAGGGTTAGGAAAATCGACCCACCACAGCATTCAGAAGTTAAAAACCTGGTGGGTTCTTGCAACGGGCTTTTATGCGTATCCTATCCCATAATCGACTATCTCACATTCAGTGCTTCACACGAGACTAGCTCTGCTTTCTTACGATCCTAAAACTAACAGGTTCAAGGCTTTAAAGATCAACCGTTCGCCGCAGCAGTTCCAAGCCTTTGTTTTCCAACCTACACTGTTCTCAGCAAAGGAGAGCATTGAATCGAAATGAAGCTCTAACCTTCACTTCTCATATATAATTTCCTCTGTTTAAGTGAGGCTTCTGTTGGATATTAGTATGACGGATCATGTTTTGAAGTTACTCGAAGATGGATTAGGGGCTGCAGGTAGGAATGTAGTTGAAGTTGTCACTGTAGGCAAGCAGAATGCTGGATTAATTTTTGGTTTTCCTCTACAATTTTGTTCTTATGCTAGATGAAGTAATTGTCACATAACTATTAATAGTTGGATATTGACTCTTTACTATATTTGAACTACTTATTCTAAGACTTATTGATGGAATAATATATTAAAAAATATATGTTGCGTATTTCATATTGCATCTTAATGTATGTTTATTTGTTAAGACATGAATACATTTATTATAAATATTTTATATTTTAGAATATTTTTTTTATATATTTTATATTTTAAAATATTTTCTTTATAAATAATTTTATATAGGTTATTGTACATACAGTATTATTTAAGAGAGTAATAAACCTTTCTTCAAATATTTCTTTTTCTTTTCCATTTCAAACTTGGTATCAGAGCTATAAATTTTTAGTTATTTTCTCTTATCATCGCTATTTGGTTTTTAGAGTTGGATTTTCAAATTCATTCCAAACTTGAAACTTTGTTGTTTAGATTTTTTCTTTTACAAATTGGATTGTTTATTCTCGATTCTCAAGCCCTTTCTAAAGTATTTTGTTGGTTTGTTATTTCGATCTTAATATTTATTTTTTTATATTTTTAAGATTTTTTTTTAGTATTGTGAGTTTTGAATTAAATGAGATTGTATTTTAATAAATAATTTTATAATTATATTAAATATTAAATATTTTATATAAAAATCACAATTACAAAATTTTTATAAAAAAAACTTTTAATTATATATATAATTATTATAAATTTCCTATAGTTTTTTACTATTCCTAAAAAAATAATTTCAAAAAATTATTAAATACAAATATATTTAAAAATACTATACATTTATAAAAAAAACTTTCAACTACAATTTAAACGCACTGACCTACCGAGCCATTGAAATTGTTTTCATTATAATATTACACAAATTCTGAAGAGTAAATGTGAGGCCCATTCAAATTATTTATTTCATTTGTCTGTAATTTCTTGTAAACTTTAAAAGGAAATACATAAATAAAAATATTAACTATATATTTTTATTTAAAAATATTAATTTTATTAATTTTAAAATAAAAATATTAATTTTTATTTTTTATTTAAAAATTAATTAAATAATTCTGTTAACGTGATAAATAAATTTTTTAAAATATTAATATTTTTATTTACACTATTTTTTTTTTCTAAACTTTCAAGTCTATGATATCCCAGGTATGTCACGTGGGATGTATCTGAATCAATAACATTCTGACACGTTTTAAAGTGTTAGAGCATGAACAACCTTAAACAAATACTGTTTTTGAAAAATAGATAAGTATAAATAAATATATTAATTTTTTTTATTTAATAAAATTAATATTTTTAAATAAAAAAATATATAATTATATCTTCAACAGCAGAAACTCAAAGCTTCAAAGCCAAGCCATGGACTTGAGTCCTAAGAATGGAATCCAGGAGAAGAAAGCCACCCCGCCAGCGGAAGTTACCATCGATATTCTATCGAGATCACCCATGGATGCCGAAGAGGGAAGACAGAAGAAAAGAATCAACTTTGCAGATGATCCTTCTAACAGAGCGATGGTCCAGATGGATCTTCATCTTCTCCCACGGGAGATTCTGCTCGAAATCCTATCAAGACTTCCGATCAACTCTCTGATCCGCTTCAAGACCACTTCCCATGCCAGCTATGATTTAATTACCGATCCAAGACTCCCTCAGATGTTCCGCAACCAGGTAAGCGACTCAAATCCATGTCTGATTTTGTTAAACTACAATTTCCCTGTCTTCCAGTCCCGGCAACTATTGTTGTCAAAATCTAGATTTAAATCTTAAAATCTTACGATTTTACGATTTCAACAAGACATTTCGTGTAAAATCTATATTAAAATTTGAAATTCATAAAATTTGGGATTTCACGGTAAAATTTAGATTTTATCTAAAATCTCGATTTTACCTCCTGTTTAACAGCTAGACTTTTTGCCTATTTCTTTTTAGGCTTTTCATCTTGGATTAGTGAGTTTTGACTAGATAACTCATAAATTAAACTCATTTTTCATTTTAAAAGCCCACAACTCACACAACCCAACCATAAATCAACATTTTAATTGGGAATTCGGGACAAATTTGATTTAATCATCTAAAATTCTAAATTTAAGTAATCTTCTTCGTTTAATTTATTTGTGTTGTTAGATATTTAGATTTTAATTAGTTAATTTCAAGTTTTTAACTCTAAATTTGATTTATTGTTATTTAATTTTGATTTTATATAATTTATTATATATTATATATTAAATTTTGTAAAATC